TCTCTCTGCCTGTCTCTCTCTATTCCCATTCCTATGTGTCTCTCTGTTTCTGCCTGTCTTTCTCTCTAGCCCAGTTCTTATGTGTCTCTCTGTCTCCGCATCTCTCTTTTTCTGCATCCCCTCCTCCACATTTCAGTTAAGTCAGAAATGGAGTTCTGACCTGAGAATTTGGGTATCTGATAACTCCAAGAGAAATTCAAGAGACTCTGAGCCACATCTTTATTTGAAATGCAGATCAGGCTTCAAGTGCTGGGTGACTGGAGTCCAGACAAACATAAAACCGGACAATGACATAAAACACGAATGACCAGCTGCAGCAGTTCTGATTTGTAGATCTAGTACCTGGGGTATTTGGTTTGGTGTAATATGGTTTAGATTTTCTTTTTTCTTTTTTTTTCCCTTTCTCCTTATGGTTACAAGATAGCTGCAAGAAACCCAAGTACTGGATGGAGTACATGTTGCTCAAAAAAGACAGGAAACTAAAAGCTTCATTTGCTGTAGTTTGTTTAGAAAATCTCTTCCCAGAATTGCACCGAGTTTTCATGACGCCAGCTATTACTGTAAATTATCACTTTCTCCTCCACCCCATCTCTGTACGAGAATGTGGCACCATTGTAACTACTGGGTTGACCATGACTCATGCCGGGACTTTGGCACAATGACGCATGTGTGTCTAGAGTAAGGATGATTGGCTGATAAAGGGCAACGCTCGGCTGAATCCACTCTCTCTTCTCTAGGCTATCACAGCGTCTGGGAAAAATTTGATATGGGAAACAAAGGCCACATTCTAAATGCAAAGAAAGAACCTAATAGCATGAAAACCTGCTGTTGGAAAAGAAGGCTTCCTTTAAGTGTTCCATCAGAGGACCTAACAGGTCACAAAGAGCAGCCCAAAGAGGGGTTATTAATTGAGAGCCTTTATCAATATCCTCAAAAATAATCCTCAAATATCTAGTAACTTCCAGTGTTTGCCAGTGAGACAAAGAAGTGGGAGAGATCAGGGTCTACCCAGGAACTCCTGAGGCACCTCCAGTTTGTTTTGTTTTGTTTATTAATGCATCCATCACAAATGCTTATAACACCAATGCACTGTGTTGACACGCGAGACAGAGGAGGTTGTTTTGAGGTGAGTGTGGTGGCGTGCATGCATGGAGTGTGACGGCCAGAGGTCAAGCAAAGCTGTTATTTCTCAGATGCTGTCCATCTGATTTGTCCAGGCTGGGTCTCTCCCTGGCCTGTGGCTTGCAGAATCAGCTGTGTGGGCCAGCTAGTAAGGGTGAGAGGTCCACCTGTGTCCGCCTCCCCAGTGCTGGAATCAAAAGAGAAGGTCATCGCCAACTTTCACACAGACTCTGAGGCTCCAATTTAAATCCTTATATTTGCACAGCTAACACTACCAACTGAACCAGTCCTGAAGCCCCAGAGGTGTTTTTTTTTTAATGATCAAAAAAATTTTGACTTTTGTTCCCCTTTCACACACATTTTTAAGTCGATCTGAAGCCCTTAAAGTCTACATTAAGAAAAAAATACAGAGTGAAAAAAATAACAACAGCAAATAGTCGGTGGGGAAAACCAGAGTTGGCATCATTACCGACAAGGGAAGAAACCACACAGCCTTAGAACGAGGTTATGTAGGTTATGTAGGCTTCTACGGAGTGGTCAGTGGCCAGTTGTCTCTATAGACCTAGGGGAGGAACTAGCTAGGGTTTGCACACGCAACAGTTTCCACCATAATGCATGCCATCTTCTCCTCATGAGAAACTACTGATGCGTTTCTTCCCAACTCCAGCCAAAAGAAGGTAGGGACATCCCAGCAAAATGAAAACCAAAGCAAACAAGATTAAACCCAAAGAGCTGATAACTACCATCTGGTCATCTCTATAAAGGTGTGTGGCATTGGTATATCATCATGAAGGGTTGAGAGTCTCCCATAGTGCATGCAGGACCACAGGAGGCCAGCGATGATGTGATAACCAGGCTCCCACAATAAGCTGTATTTGGCACAATTAGAACTTGCATGCACAGGGCCATGGGGGTGGGGATTCACTATGACTAGCTGCAGGTGGGTACACTGTGTAACACAACAGGGCTTCATGAGATGAACAGCAAACTTCATGTGGGCTAAAATTTGGAGCAGAGATCGGGTTGCCATGTCAGCAACTTGGATGGTGTGGGACCCAAGGAAGAGGGCGGCAAGAACGGGGCTGCTGAGTTCTGTGTGCTCATGTTCTTTGCAAGTCTTTCAGAGGGTGGAGTAGTGCTTCTTCGAAACGGGTTCCTTACGCCATTGCCCTTGGAAAACGTTTCACATCATCTCGTATTGATGGGCCATGATGAACCGGGATAGACAACAGGAAAGCCTCATACCGATCAGCTGGGAAAAAGTGACTGCAAAGAGCACTCCAATGACCATGCCTGTGTTTCCCTTCAAGAAAGTCATCATCCGATCATAGCAGCCCCTCTGGTTAACTTTGGTGGCAGCCACAGTCAGGTTGTGCAGATCCTGGGGGTCACAATCACTTTCATTCTTGCAGCAGCTGTGGGGGATGCCATGTTCCAGGAAGTAGGGACTGGTTTCCCAATTGGTGTAGTTGGTCGCACCACAGCAGCTCAGGGAATACTGCACCTGGTCCACCGCCTGGCTCTTCTCATCGCGGCCGTTATAATGCTGCACAGCGTTGGCATAAATCCTCAGGAAGCTGGCCTTGATCTCACGGTGAAACAGAAGCCCTGAAATGCTAGCAGCAAGCTCAGCCAGGAACACCAGCAACAGACACAGAGCATACAGCTTCAGCATCCATGGGCTACCTCGGCATGCAGCAAGGCATCCAAATAGACCAAAACTGACAATCATGGTGCCAGTGCCAATGAGCACAGAGGGGACATCTGTGGAGGTTTTGGCAATAGATAAATAGATGCCCAGGGTAAGCTTTCCCCAGACTCCAATGAACAACAGGATCACCCCGGTAATCCAAAAGACAAAGGAGTATAGGAGGAGGAGGGTTTTGAGACAGATCACCAAAAATTTGATTTCCATTCTCCCCAGTGCCACAACACTGCTCCAAGAGACAGAAAAGGCAGTGTTCCCAAGTGGTCTTCCTATACAATCCTTGCTGCAGGCTTGCTCAATTCTCCTGAGACTTCACTGACCTCTGCTAGTCTGGTTGGCAAAGAAAAGATTCCAGAGAATGAGGTTCTTGCTTTCTGTGTTTGAAGGACTGCTTCACAGTAGACTAGCTTCCTTCTGGGGGGTGGATACAGTGGAAGGCTGGGCCTCCCCACTCCTTCCCTATTCGCTGTATTCCTCTACTCTATAGTTCTGAATTCCCTCCCTCCCCTGTTCCTTTCCTGCATGAGCACTGGTCACTGGCATTTCCCCTTCATTGCTGAAATAGTGTTCTCTCAAGCCCTAGCCCACCTGCAGTGGGAGGGATGACACTGGTGTCCCCTTTCCCAAAGAAGGATATTGGTGCTGGCCCTTCTCATTGTCCCGCCCTGACAGGTCACAGGTTGTCAAACCATGACCCTCTTGCAGCTGGCTATCTACTTACATTGTGACCCAGGGTCCTGCTCATAATGAGGAACCCTGTGGTCACTGCATACAGGTGCTGGCAGAGACAAAGAAATGGAGAGAAAAGGCAAGGCTTTTGAAGGCAAGCACCGTGTCCCATTTTGACTCTTACACACTAAAGATGGTTGAAAGTTTTTGTTATCTCTTTTTTTGTAGAAACAGAGCCCATTCTATGCCTTTCAAGGTAGGCTGGCTTAAATGATTTTCTTGACCAATAGATCATGACAGACATGATGATTTAGGAAGACAAGTCATAAGAGGTCTTGCCAATTTTTGCTACCTCTAACTTGGGGGAAGCCATCTCTTCAATGAAGAAGTCCAACTACCCTGAGCTTCCACTCTGCCAGGAAGCATAAGCAATAGGAAGGAGGCGGTCAAGCCCCGCCAAGTGCAGGTGCAAAGAGTGAACTTGGAAATCCCATCCAGTAATCATGATTTGAAGAACATCCAAGGGATCTGGAAGATAAGATAGCTAGCAAGAAGCTACTCAATTCCTGGTCCACAAACTCTTTAGCTGACAGAAAAGCAAGTATCATCCACAGATAAGCTTTGGGTATGAATTTTGCTACAGTGGATGAGTAGGCCAAGGAACACTGGGAAAATCCTCATCCTTCTGGGAACATTCATTTCCTTAAATCCAAATGGACCAAGGATTGTATCTTTGTTGCTGTCATTTATTTCAAATGGCCCTCAGAAAAGAGCCCATTGTTTAGCACAGGCTAGATAGGAACCTATAATAAAAACATATTCTAGACAGGTGCTGTTCCTGCTGAAGCAGAAGGAAGGGAACTTAAGAACTGGTGAAGGTAGCTGATGAGGCCTCTTACGTTCTTACTAAGAATTTTGGAGCCAAAAGAGCTCCTCATGACTGCCTCCTGGGCTGCTGAGCACAGGCCCAGGTGAAGCTCACTAGAACTTCCACTAAGTATTAAAAGCTGTTCCTGCTAAACTTGAAAGTGGGATCCGCTGTTTGACTCAGGGTCAGCGCCGGCAACTGTGGAGGCATTAGAGGTAGGGAGAATAAGGACACCCACAAAAAGTGGCATCACCTATGACTTTGAATCACTCACAATGGGATACTGTGATATAGTTCATTTTGTTAGTTTTTTGGGACTAGTTTTTGCAATAGTTATTCAAACACCAATCTAGGGGGTTGTGTGTATGTAGGCTTTAGATGAGATCAATGCTCAAATAGATGAACGATGAATATAGTGGATTACCTTCCAAAGTATGAGTTGGACAAACCTCTCCTAAGCAGGAGGAATTGGACATGAGCTGTCACATCAATTCTTTCCTAAGTCTCCAGGCTGTATATTTTAGGTTTACCAGTCCTCCTGGATATCCAACTCCAGGCAGGACGTATGTCACTTATAGACAAGATGTGGGAAATCATGAACAACTCTGCCTTCAAGTCCTCTCCCATACCAGTGGGTGTGTAGAAACTGCCCTTGCCTTTTTCTTGTTTAATAGAAAACTTGTGGATAACCATCACTTTGTTCTTATAACCCCATAAGCCAGATGCAGCAGGGAATGAGCAGAGCTCGGTGAAGAGGCAAGAGAAAAGCAGAAAAGGCCTTTAGCTCCGCCATGCGCTCTACAAAGCCTAGAAGTATCTCTGCCATGTGCTCTACAAAGCCTAGAAGTATATACAGTAGTCTCGGCACTATAGCAGATACCGAAAACACAGCAGCAACTAAGCAAGGTTGCTCAACTTCCTAGAATGTGCATTGAAGAAAGCACAGACTGAAAACAAAGAAAACAGAATTTCACAACAAAACAAAACTGACTGGGCCTATGATATATCAGGGGGCTCTCTAGTGGGCTACTGCGGGGCTTCTGGGGAGTTTAAATTTTCATTTTTAAATGTTTTATTGTAATACATGCTCTTCATATGAATGAATGAATGAATGAATGAATGAAGATCATCACAAAGCTTCCCATAGCCGTTTATAAGCTAAAAGAATAGCGCTGACTTCTTGAAGAAATTTAGCATTCTGAGGGACTCCTGCTACAAGGAAATAGTTGCAAAGGTACTGGAGGGGAAGAGTGTCTTATTTACAGTCTATGCACAATAACTTATAGGATAATCACAAACAAAAAGTCCAATGTTTGAAGATAGTAATCACAAATGATCGCCATGTTGGGAGAACTAGCCTTTCCTATGGTCACATAGGATAAAGTCTGTGATATTATCCTGCTTTCTAGCTTCCATTTGGTCTCTCTTGACATTTCTTGCTGTTCTCCAAAATCCTGGAGTGAGTTAGATCCCTATTTCCTCCTCCCATACTTACAAAATGTCTTTAACTACTGCCCAGCAGGGGATGGCCTCTACAGTGCAGTCCTGTAACACACTTAACTGTCCCAGGGGCACACCAACAGTGCAACAAATCCTATTGACCTGAGAAAATAAAAAAAAAGCTCATTGGTCAGAGTTTAACTTCAAGGTACCAATTTAGTTAATAAGATGTGCTGAAGATGTTTTATACAGTCAAGTAATGTGGTTCCATCTGGGTTTGGGGAGGACCACATTGGCAAAGGTTTCCAAGACAGCAGCAGAATAAGATGGGGTTAAGGGAGGAGAAAGTGGATAAAGAAGGGAGGTGTTGAGATGTCCAGATAAAATGTCTGAACCAGGGCAGTGGAAAAGGACATGAACAGAAGTGCAAGGAAGATCTTACGTCCCTTATAATTAAGAGGCGGTGTTATGTGGGTTTCTCACCTATGACTTCGGTCATGATGCATCTTCTGAAGGAGTCGTGGCCGTGATTATGAATGTCCAAAGCACTAAAATATTTAGTCCTTTGTTCAATTCAGCCTTTATAAACATATTGTCTTCCATCTTATTTTATTTTACTTTTATTTTTTTGAGACAGTCTCCTTTTATAGCCCAGGCTAGCCTCAAATTTGTTACTCTTCTTCCTCAGCCTTCTGAATGCTGAAATCCCAGGCATACACTCTCACGCGGGGCTAACATATTTGCTTTCAATTTCCCAATATATCCTTTGGTAATTACAATATAACCAGCTTTCTTTTACAGCTTCTGGTTTACCTCACCTAATCATTGTTTGCCTATGTGAGACATTTTGTTGGTCATTCATTTCTTAGCCCAAAGATACAAGACACATCATGGCTGTCTGATACAGGAGCGCTGAAAGATCCAAGGAAGAGGTTCTACCTTATTGGCATTCACTGTAGCCAACAGTCCCATGTTCCTTACCTGTGTGGTAGTAATAGGTTGTCACAGGTCTGTCAGCCTGCTAGTATCACTTTTTAGTCACTTTCTATGAGCCATGGCTCATTCTTATCATTTCACAAAATTTCTACTAATAGCAACAAACTCCCTTGCTGACACAGACCTGTTTGTTAAAGGCGGCGAACACTGGAGTTGTAGGCCCTCAGATCTGGATAGGAGAAGTATCAACGGAGGAAGGATGCTCTAGACTTAACCTTTGCAGGACCCCCAACCAGTCATGGATGAGTCCGCTAGGGGACGCGCAACCATTTGCCAGTTATTGCGAGTGACCTTGCTTTTCTGACACACAAGCTCATCCCCTTGATGTCCCCTTGAAGGAAACCTTCGCGGGAAGTGGAGCACAAGCTGTGCACCCCCCTGCATCCCGCTGGCACTCACTGCCTGGTGGGTGTCCTATGTTTCGACTTCCGGAGCCCTCTTTCTAATTAAACAACTTCCAACCCAAAATAAAGACCAGAACTCATAAAGTTTTGTTGACTTTAGATCATCTTGTGCCCTACAACTTTTGCCTTCACACTATCTTTAAAATGCATGTACCCTTCAGCAATCTACTGCTTCCCATTCCAGAACAATGTCCTTCCCCACGGTGACAGTTATAACTCCCTACCTTGTCTACCTGTCTGCTCCAGTGATCCTTTAGCCCTGACCTACTCCATCTATTTCTGTGGCTTGTAAATCTTGACATTTCGCTGGTTTAATCTTTCTAAATTTTTCTCATTGATAATGGCAAGACTTTAAGCTTTTCTCGCCTAGCTTAAAAATTCACATTGAATTGGGCCCCACATTCTCCATACTCAACCTTTGCATTACACATGCAGGAGTTTATAGTTAGATGGCCTCTACTGAGCTATTGTTTTCCCTATTGATGCTTTTCTGGAATCCCACTGGTTATTATCTGTGAATAGCCACAGGAACAAGCTAGTCTTCTGCGCTTTCCTAAGCTTTACCTGTCTCTGAGTGGCCATGGAGGTTCATGCAATGCTGACCCTTTCTTTGATCTTTTCTTGCTAAACCTGGGGGAGGATTCAGCTCCAAATGTTCAGTTCCAATATGCTGGGATTCTACCTTGCAAGATATTTGAAGGAATATCACAAGACAAATGTCTTACAACAGGGGGCAAGGTCAAAGTGACAGAGGCTGGCAAGACTCTACTCATAAGGACTAAGAAAGGAGTAAAAGTAGAAGAAAAATGACCTTGGCAAAGAGCTGCAACTTAAAATTTTCAGTGAGACAAGTATTCCTCCTGGGCCACCCAATTTTGGAGGCAAAGGAGTCAAATCCCTCGGTGAGTTATCATGATAATCTAATTAAATGAAAACATTCTCATTCTCTCACTTTCTCTCCTCATGTACATGGGACACTGTTCATACTGGTACTGCCTGGCTCTCAGAGCAAGGACATCTGACCTCAGACAACTTCTGGTTTCCTGAAACCCAGATAAAAGGGCAAAGGATGTGCACTGTGTTCTGCAGAGTCTGAAATGCTTGCCTCAGAGAAATGATCCAATGGGTTATCATTTTTCTTCAGACATCATCATTGGCACCAGCTGGGAGAAGTGAAAAGCAGTATGTGTTTTACTCTGGGAAACCACTGAACTTTGATCTTCTTATAGTGATGGACTATGGAA